ACACCAGCTGCAAGCTCCGGGGTCCCCATTTCCTTCCAATTATACCACATTGGAGCACCCTAAATAACATAGCCAGTTTGGGCACTTTTGGTGGTGGTGTTGTTTATTGATTTTTTTTTTTTAAGAGAGAGAGAGAGAGAGGAAGGGAGAGGGAGAAAGATTTGTTTTTCCACTCATTTATCCATTCATTGGTTGAATCTTAAATATATTTTTATTGATTTCAGAGAGGAAGGGAGAGGGAGAGAGAGACAGAAACTTCAATGATGAGAGAGAACCATTGATTGGCTGCCTTATACTCGTTCCACACTGTATGGGGTGGAGCCCAGGCATGTGCCCTGACTGGGAATCAAACCATGACCTCCTGGTTCATAGGTTGACACTCAACCACTGAGCCATGCCAGCTGGACGAGGATATGTTTGTTTTTTTTTAATTGATTTTAGAGAGAAAAAACATTGATGTGGGAGAGAAAAATCAATGGGTTATCTCCCTTACACCCCAACCTGGATTGTGCCCTGGCTGGGAATCGAACCCGAAACCTTCTGTATGGGTTGAGGCACCAGGCCAGGGCCATTGGTTGATTCTTGTATGTGCCCTGACCGGGGACCAATCCCCAAACCTTGACGTATCGGGATGACGCTCTCTCTACCCAACTGAGCTACCAGGCAGGTTTTGAATTTTATAAAAATGGCAGGATCCTGTGGGTATTCTGCACTCGGCCTTTTTTGCACGGTCTCATGTTGGGGAGCTTATCCTGTGGAATGGTGCTGCTGGGTTGCATTCATTTTCACTGCTCTGTAATATTCCACTGTGCGAATCTACACAAAGGTGTCAGTCTGTACTAAGCGATGGATATTTGGGTTGTTTTCAGTTTTTTTTCCTATTACAACAAACAGTGAGGGTTTCAAACCCAGATCAGATCCTCTCTTAGGTGATGAGACAGCCCCTGGACAGCAGCCAGCAGGAGCCTAAGGCTCTCGGCCCAAAAGCCTGCTGGGACCCAAACCCTTCCAATAATCCTGCCCCAACTGATGCTTGAGTGTAATCTTGTGAATCCTAGAGCCAGATAACTAGCTAAACGCCACCCAGAATCCTGACCCACGGAGACTGAGATAAATTGCTTTCAGCCACTATATTTTGGAGCTACAGTGGGGCCTTGACTTAGGAGTGTCCCGACTAACGAGTTTTTTGAGATACCAGCTCTCCACAGATTTTTTGCATTGAGTTGACAGAGTAATTTGAGTTAACGAGCTCCTTAACAAGCTCGGTCTCGGAGCGAATTAAACTCGTAAGTCAAGACCCCACTGTATTTGTTACAGGGCAATAGATAACCCAGTGATTCCCAAAGTGGGCGCTACCGCCCCCTGGTGGGCGCTGCAGCGATCCAGGGGGGCGGTGATGGCCACAGGTGCATTTGTTTTAACTTTTTTTGTATTACCTTTCTATTCTGAGTTCAATAAATAGTTTCATAATTTCAAACTTCAATGTTTCTAATTTACACCTTTCTTTACTATATTTTACGAAAAAGGTAGAAACATTAATACATATATCTTTCTGTTTAATTGCTATTAAAATTAAAAAAAATTAATTTCCAGGGGGCGCTGAGTAATATTTTTTCTGGAAAGGGGCGGTAGGCCAAATAAGTTTGGGAACCACTGG